TATTAGTCAAAACACACTTTAGAAATTCTCGTTATATCACTAGGTAGAGCCTCATCACAAGTACAATCTAGAGCACCTTCAAGATTCTCTAAACTGGTAGTAGCATGTGATATTGTTGGGAAACCAACAGCTAGTGTGGTTTCTCAAAGCCTTTTAGAAAAGCCTCTTGAGTGTCAATTGGAGATTTTATGTGTTCATTTCAGTAGTCATAAATATTAATCAGCATTCTTGAAAAGTGCAACAAGCCAGTGTAGCAACTTGTGGTAGTTGCAGCAGGAAATTGTTCCCATCTCTTCTAAGGTCAGTAAACTGACAATCAAGTGGGGAAAAATCAGGTGAGCCCAGGTAGTGCACGGATTTGAGCTACACTTTGGAAGTACCACTGAAGGCTCTGCTATTCACCAGGCTCAAGAGCGAGACTACTTAGAAAACCTGATGGAGCTTCATTTTGAAGGGCTCTGTAAACGAGTGAATAGTTTAAACCCTTTGTATGTGTTTACTGCCCAAAGGATTTGGAGAAGCATTTCGGGAGAACCTCGTGCCTTCGAATCTCCTTTAATGCATGTAGGAAGAATGTAAGTGGAAAGGAGCCACCAGCAGGAGAACTTCTCACACTGGTCATGCTTTGTGAGAGCAAGAAATGGAAGCAGGCAAACAGAGGAGCTCATTGAGAAGCTCCTTTTACCGATTCGTGATAATTCCAGTACTTATTCCGTCTAGCTACTCGGCATCCACTACGGTGGAGATGATAAAAAATGTTTGTGTGAACTGTTAAAGGATAATTGTCTCTATAGGAATCACAATATTAATTCAATATGGAAAATGTCATGCAAGTAATTATTAGGCTCCTGGATAAAAAGGGAGCAGCTGGAAAACCTTTTCAAAAACATGATAATTCATTCATGATAACTATCTGCAAAATGCATGGTGGACGAGGTAGTAAGCAGGCAGTACAGCAACAATCGGAAGTTGATGAAGTTACCGCCTGACCGTGTATCAATTGCATTGGCATAATGCTCTTGGAAAAGCTCATAGGTGGCTATGTGGGAATTATCTCGTACAGATCACATGTAGAGGCCCTTTTCTATTTGGAAAACACGAAAACAGTAGGATTAGTAGCTTCAACCCATTATTGATAACATTCTGAATCCACGCCTTTCTTTTGGGGCAACAAAATAGTTATCGTCATATAAAACTACATCTGAAACCAACAAGCCCTGACGTCCTTTCCTGCCGTTGGCTGTCGTCTGAGTGAGATAATTGATGAATGGTTCAGATTTGGCAGAGATTCCAGCAACGAATATCCCGGAGCTTTGAGTGAAGGTAGTACTGTTGAGTCCGCGGCTGCTGAAAACGGAATCTCACTCGACCATTCAAGGAAATAAGCAGTACACCTGAAACTTGTCAAAAGGTCCTATTTGATAATCAAGTTGATAATACAAGGAGTTTGTTGATTTCGTGTTTGCCTATTGTATGCACTCTCCGATGTCGTTTGCCTGCTTCAGTAGCAAGATCTGTGGAAATTGGATAGTTATTAGGGAACATTCAGACAACTGTAATGGAAACGCTGTTTTGGTAAACAATACTAGAGGATGGAGACCGGATGGTGGTTGATTTCTAGGAGATGGTTAGCAGACGCTCAACGAAGTTGGCCAACACTTAGCCGTGAACATCGGTTCATTCGAAAGCCTCATGAATACGAACGTGGACTGCGACTCCCTCTGCGACTGAAAAGAGGTCTTGAATCAAATTGCGTCAAATTTTGCCGTTAGCGGCTAAAACCAAGCTACAACTAGACCTATACAGTATTTCATCTGTTTTAAAAATGGAAAAATTTCTTCTTCGTAGGTCATTATTTTCTCACAGGGCAGCTTTCATTACTTCAAAGTGAGGCTTCTGCGCCGATGTTGGCCGGAGAAGAAAGCTGAAGCTCTACATTGAAACTTTGGAAATCGAAAAAGAGCACTTGAAAGAATTCCAGAAATTCTTATCGTCCATTACAACCTATCATGATAACTGTCTTTACTAGGGTGAACCTAGTCTCCAGTATATGTGGGAGATACTTTGTAGTGGCAACTGTAAACAAATTGGCCACAACAACATTAGCCCAGAGTTATCTTTAATCAACACTCTGAGGATGCTATAAAATAGAGCCATCGTCTTCTGAGAAAAAATCTTCACTGGTCGAGGAGATCACACTCGGAATATGAAGTCACGAACTGTCAAGAAAGTAATTTTTCTTGTGTTCCTGCTGCGTCAATAACGAATTTGTTTTTTTCTTGAAGAAGTACAGCAACCCTCTATTACTAAAAATTAACTAATGTTCGTTTTTATGTTAACTCAACATTATAAAAAAAAGAGTTTGCTTACAGCAATCTTGGGCAATTCATTTGACCACACAAAACGTTCTTCGGCATCTACTGTAAGAAGAAGGTGGCGGGAATTTGAATTCCAACGGAATCGACACATGGAAATGAGTACTTTTGCGATTCATGTTTCCCTCAACACAGTCAATGGGGGACGAACAAATCATCTGAATTTTAGAAATAAAAGCAACTACACTGTGTCCTTGGAGATAAAAGGCATTCCATCAGTCTAGCTATGTTTATCCGCTTTTCCAATAAACTTCTTGAGTGCACAGCTCTTAACTTTGAAGTGCCCTTTCATTCCTTTGCTTTCTTGTATAACGAAAGTGTTGATCCAGATAGTGCATCGATGGTGAAAAAGGGCAGAGAAACAACAAAAGTTCCACAATATAAGGGTAATATATTTGTAGCCGAGAATCGCCTTAATCGGGAACCTTAGAAGCCATTTTCATCGAAAAATGTGCTTTTCATGGCAATTACAGGTACCTCTTTAATTCTTGGCAATAGTTAAAGAGGTAAACAATACTAGAGAATGAAGACCCGAGCAGACCGATTCCTAGGAGATACTTAGCAGACGCTCGGTGAAGTTGCCCAACACTCAGCTCTTATTCAAAAAGGTCTGAATTAGGCTTAATTACTTGTTCTTCATAATACCCTACAAACTGAACAGATTTTTTAAAAGCCCCTATAATCCTGATAGGTTAGTGGTTTGGATAGAGATGGTTATAGGCATACTTTCTTTTGAAAAAAGTTGAAAATTATCTCCTAATAAGTCCCCTTACCAGTTTTTGTTTCCATTGTTTTCTCCCGTATCAACTGTAGGAAGGGATTGGCAAGAGTTCGAATCCTTTCGAGGTTGACGTATCGATATGAAATTCAAAGAAATTCACATTCGCCTTTAAAACCAATCGTTGTCGGATGAAGTATTTTTCGAAAACATTGGTTTAAGGGCCTTATTTTAGCATACGATGGAGCTCTTGAAGGGGAAGGGGGGGCATAGGTGCTTTCGAATCGTCGGCTCATTAAGTGAGAAACGGCTGCAAGTTGGGTGGCTGAATGTAATTCTGATATGTGATAATCATGCCGTACAATGTATTATACTATACTATATTATGCATAGTTCAATATAATTGTACATTCAATAGCTGCAATCCCCTTCAACCTGATCAAACCCTGTTGTTGCCGCCATTTCGAAGGCGGTCGTCCTTGTGGAAACTTCGGCGTCCTTCCAGTGTGGGCCAGCACTACAGTCACGCCAATGGTGTCCTGACGCCTCAAAGTATTCAAGCGGACCATACATAGTCTGTTTAGATGCACTGAATACAGGCTTATAGTCGTTATGCAGCAATGCAGTCACCCTTGTAGAGCCTAGAATTACTGAAGGTACAACGATAGGAAACTCCTATGCAACTATACAACAGCTATGGAAAACTGGGTTTACACTGAACTTACTTGTCTTGTATGAAATTACTGTCTTCTGACCGGTGATCAGGAACTTAGAGCTATTTGCTTTGATAAAAGAATCACGGCCCTTCATTTTGTAAAATGCAAACATCCACAAAGTACACCATCACATTTTTTGTAGTGCCCATTAGGCGCCATAGGGGGTGGCATCCTGAGCAGACCTTTCGTCAAAATAATCAGAATCAATAGTTAAAAGCGTGACTCACATCCAGATCTCATAGGATAGGTGCATGCCTCGATAGAAACGCACTACATACTTAGGGCATATACCCGAAAGCCAAAACTGACCTAAGGGAGAAAAGCAGCGTTGCTTAGGGGCCCAGGGAAGAATAACGAATTTAGTAGGAGTTGGTGTGGGGATGGGAGTGGACATTGCTGAGAACGTGAAATTTCCTCACGTCACTCTGAGCCATTATACATGGAAACCACCTTTTTCGAGACTACGAAAATCTCCGACAAGTACGCAATGGTGCTGAATTTCCACTACGATTATCCATGCAGAACGAGAATGTGGAAAAAGGGCTACAAACTGTGACTAACTGTGAGCTCCTTCATGTCACAATGAGTTCGAGACGAGTTTTTGCCTTTAAATAATCTATAAATAGGTTTAGGCACGAATTGTACCCTCAACAAGAACAATCAGGGGCTATCCCTATTGGATGATAATTTAAGGAAATTTCACATGTTCCCAGCCTTGTCCAGCCCCATCCCCCACGTCAACTTCTACTTCGCCATACCAAACACTGCTCTGTCTGGGACACTTGAATTGCAAGGATTAGTTGGTGATTGTTTGGTCAAGTGAAAAAAGTGTTTCAGGATGATAAAAAAAGCATACTTTATGGCCCAGATAAGGGTAACACACCGTGCCAAGAATGAAAAGCCTCTTCCGACGGCTAGTTACTGCTTGAGTGAACTTACTGCGCTGGGGAATAAATTGGGTAATTCTATAAGCTCACTGCCTCCCTGAAACAGCGATACCGATTGATATCACAAGAGATGGTCCCTCTTGATCTTTCACCCTTGTCCACTCTCTTTTCTGTGGGGATGTTTATAAATTTTGATTTACACCCTTCAGCTCAGTATAACCCTTGAGTCATATGAAATCGCACATTCCACGTGATCAGTATATTTTTTCTCCTAGATGATTCGGTACTTATAAACAAGGTCAGAATGTACTCTGGTAAGGTATGCCATCCGATAAAGCCATATTTTGAGATAAGGCAAAGCACTTTCTATCTAAGTCAGAACTGTCCTCAAGGAATCAGTTATATTGTTGGACGACAGGGCCGAAATGCTGGTGAGTTTCTATCATTTCAACTCAATTACCTGAATACAACCCTCAGTGAAGGATAGGGGAAAGTTGCTCTCGCCAGTAAAGTCTTCGAAACAGTCTTTGCAGGAAGACGATAAAATATTCGAATCCTCGTTGAACCATGCTTTCGACGTGCCCACCCTTCGAAACTGATTAAATCCTTGCTGGGCTTGCTGTGCAAAATAGTGGTAATCTGATTATTCCAATTTCAGCTTCTATAATTTCAGGTCTTGCTTATTTCCTCTGTCTTCTTTGTCGTCTGTTCATCTCAAGATAGGCCACCAGTCGGTGAGAGAACTTTTCAGTGTCAATCAAATTTTGGTATTTGTTATAAGCGAGTGATAAATCTTCCGCTCCCTGGGATTGCCACTTGTAAGGATGAATATTTGCGCTGGTAAAGCAGTTTAAGAGCAAGACACACCACCGAATTGATTTCTTATTGTTCTAGACAGAATCGAATCCAAAATAGGTGTCTCTGTGGCGAATGTTCTCCAGTCCATGACTGCCTTGTAAAGTTGTCATCCACAATCTCATATATCCACAATATCAGTATGCTCTAGTTGGCTTTGTGCTCTGCTGTTTTTCGAGCACCGTGCACTTCGAAGCCGAAAAGGGAGGCGAAGTTTTCTGGGGCAGAAAAGTACAAACAGGTGAAACAGTCCCGTCCTAGGCTGCAGCTTGGCCTACAACCCCCCCCCCCCTCATGTTGGGCCCCTAAATGACTGCCAGGAACATGAAGTCTTTGATTGCCTTCCCTTTGGCAACTTACAGTGACTCTGTGGTTCTCAGCGACAGTGCTCACGAACGGCTCTGGGAACGAGAATTATAGCGACAGTCTTCAATTTATTTTTTTTTCCCCGACTAAAACGGCTTATTGAACGAATTCACATTTTGAATAGCAACTCAAAGTGTGATATCATCAATTATTCCCGTTTGAATTTAAAAATTCTTTATACATTTCCAGTATGCTCAAATAATTCAAATTTCCAGTAGAGCTTCCTGTCCAACCATCCCCAGGAGATTCCAAGAGACTAACTGGCAAAGCGCTAGTGGACTATGTGAACAGCCGCCAATCGCTTTTCGAGGTTAGGCTCCATTCGCAAAACTTTTTTCCGCTAAACTTCTAAGAATTTTTAGTCCACACCAGTTGCAGCAGTTAACTCTTAAATTTTTTGAGAGTGTCCGGAATTTCTGAATTGGATAGCTTATTAAGCCTTCATTCTATTATGTTCTGCAGAAGAACTTATCCTTGAACAAATTTGATTTAAAATGAAGTTTAGGCCGAGTACTCTCCAGAAGCAGAACATCGTCTGGGACATTTGATGAAGTTGGACTTTATTAAAAATGCTCGTAAACGATATAATATTCCAAAAGTTGAGAAGTCACCCGACAATGTTCAAATTCCAGAAAGGTAGGCAGTTTTATTTTTCCACCGATGACATGTCTCCAGTTTCACAGTTTACGCCTTCATCAGAATTTTTTCTTTTAACGACATGTTGGAGATTACAATTACTTCCCAGTCAAGGTTATTAAGGTGGTTAAAGAGCACTGAAATACCTACTCATTTTCGATGAGCGTTGTTAAGAACAATTTCTCAGGTAAAGAATCTCGGGCTGAGCCCGTTTTGTACGGATATGTTGGGTCCTAGAGCTTCCTTCACAGCCTTTTACATAAACACGCTCACCATATCTTCAGACTGTACTGTAATACATAGTATGTACTTGCAAAGGCCGGATGGAAGAAGCTCAAAAGCATTGGGAAGTGAGGGGAGTGTCTTGCTATAATGGGTAGCAATAGGCTGGTCTCATGGTTGATCGGTAGCGCATGTATCGCAGGGAGTGGTCCGTTGGTATGGTGCTTCACATTACCCTCTTCCCGAACCAGCCTTTTACCCTTTCCATTGGCATAAGATAGTACTGATTAATATTGCTATAGTTACTTATACAGCTTATTTCAATCTTGGTCATTATATGCGACTTCAAGTTAATACCTTACACTATCATATTACGAATTTAGCTTCGATTCTCGGGAAAAATGGCCAAACTGCTCCTCAATATCACTCATTCGTGATCAGTCACAGTGTGGTAAGACGGCATGTTCAAACTCTTTCTTCTGAACACTTCAATGCGGTCGTGTAAAATAGTCTTCTGCAAAAATTGCTCCGCGTATATTGCCTCCGTGGAGAGCAAATAGCCAACCGATTCGTGTAAGCTATGGGAGTGTATTCGGCTGATTAATGCCTGGTTGGTGATTATTGCGGATGTGACGTTATACAAATTTATCAAGTTTTATTACCATAATAAAAAACAACAAATAATATGTAGAAATTGAAATAGTGGAGAGGAAAATCAGATGAGAAGGTTACAGGAGAGCTCTGCGGAGTTTTGCCGGAGGAAGGGGGATCCTAGAGGCGGTCACTTACTGATTGATGTTCTACCCTGGCCAACCACTGAGGCTCATAGCTCGACCAAAGGGTACCCGCCCAGGACACAAAGATCGGGTGAAGCACAAAGGAATTCTGAAAAATGACGACCGTCCCACCTGTTAAGGAATAATTTTTTTTTCTATCGTTAATTTAACTTCATCTTCTGCGGGACCCCTTCCCTGTATCATGAACTTTACTGGTTGCTAGTCTTTGATGAATTTGATCGTGTGGGATCACTTCAGTTCTTTACCCTAGTTGGGCTCTTGATACGATAAAGCGGCTTGCTGCCTGATGAGGAGCAGAAGATTTGTATTCGTAAGGATTCATCAAACCTCTTATATGGGATGTGCCTTCAATCCACATTAAAGGTAACCATTGTAGGTTCTTGCTGGGCTGTCTCGGCCGCTGAAACAATGTCCGATCGCATATGCGTTCAGTCAAAAGGGAAAAAACAGGTCAATCAACAGACTGTGTTGGTAGTTGCATCGAAATCATCATTTACTTGAAGACTTCTCTCTTAATTATACATGTATTCCTTACACCCGATGTGGTCGAACTTCTTTTAGGAGGATCGTAATACTCTTTGAGATAACCATAGTGAGTGATGCAGGCCAAAAAGGACAATGCCCACATAGGTAAAGTGGCACTAAGAAAATACAGAAGGATTTGCAATGACATTTAAAATACCCTTGTTCGAGAATTTAGTGGCACTTAGAAACATGTTTGTGTCACCCAGACAATCCTTCGATGGAGTCAGTGATCGGGTCAAGAGGGTACTCCCTACACAGAAAGGGAAAGGCTTAGTCGGCTTGAGGAGAAGCAGGTCGGGGATTTGTTACCTGGTCAATATGGAAACGTAGAAGAATAGTCGATGGTACTAACTAAGTACATCTCTTAGCGAGCCCTACTTAGGATAGAATGTGCAAACTTCGGGAGAAGACCTTGTCAATCACTCATTCATTCAGTCTTCCTTCATGCTTGGTGGCTCAACGAACTTATCTTGCTTCTATACCACTACGATTTGTTATGCTCTCGGGGAATCGACAGTCCATTTGAAAGGCTTGATATTGAGAACTTTCCTTTTTCAGGTTCTGATTTCAGATGTCGATATTCTGTCGTGTTGTGGAGATGAATGTGGATATGGGTGAGCACATAATTGATCAAAGAATAACTTGACAATGAATCCGAAACTATGTTAGTCCCTGAGATTCCTGCTATTTGGTCTGATTCCTCACACCAGCGGACTTTGCGACGGCACGAAGTCACACTCGATTCACTGAAAAGTTGTTATTCTTTCTGAATAACATCGCAGGCGAACCTATAAAAGAAAAACATGCTCACGTCCTCTTGGTTCTTAAACTTTTTGGATCATCACGATTAAGAAGCGATTCATGTAGGAGAGATTGAGGGATATATGGTTGGGAGATTTCTGAGTAAGCTCTGGTCCTTGTATTCACCTCATGTTAGTTCATAGGAAAAATTCAAGTGCATGAAACCCTGAAAGTCGGTTTGTTCGAAAGAGGCATTTTTTTAACGGAAAGACTGCCCTTTAGCCGTTTCAGCGCTTTTCTTTGAACGATATTCCCTAATAAAGGCATTGCCCCTCCTTATTCTGAAACCTTTTTCTACCATTGAGGTTTCACGAATGAACAGGTGATTCACTTACAGGTGCGATGGAGGTCTAGACCATAAAGCATGGGAGTATGCCAGAGACTCCGGCGTTTGTACTGGAGGACTTTATGAGCAGCCGGTAGGTCCAAGATGTTTGAAGTGACGTTGAAGGCAAACCGATAATTAAGCCATCACTTAATAGCGTTGGCTCGATCAGTCTATCGAACCTTTAAAGCTGATCGCATGTCTTTCCAGGACGTCTGCAAACCGTATCCTTTCCATCCGTGTGGGAAACACGGCTGGAAAAAATATCCTCCTTGTCCAACAGACCACATATATAAGACGCCGTTGTGCAGGAAATACTGCCAATACGGATATAATAAACGATACGAAGAAGATAAATTCTACGGTACGCTCGAAATTGCTATTTTTTAAAAGCGCGCAACTTTATGCAAACATAACAGTTTATTAACATAGTGAAGGTTATTGCAGAAATTAGTACGAAGCGATTCTGTCGTCATGCTTTTCAATGTGTCCACTGCAATGCTGCTGGGAGACGGGCATTAGGGACGGTTTTGTGTAATCGATTCGCCGCACGCGGCTGTCGCGGACAATTCGTTCGCCGATATTACAGCTCTAGCCCTCTTCATACAGCTAAATCGATATGCGATCTTTATTTTAAGCATGATTGTACTGTTGATTCTTTTGTTCTTGTATTTCTGATCTGCTGCTGCACCCTCCCACATTCCTTCGCACGCGACGTCCCTCTCGCAGCGACGCGACAGTTTCGTTCCTACTGCACCACACCCCAGTGCTGCTATATTGCTGTCATGCTCAGGGATTTCTTTATAAACCTCCCACTAAAACCTGCGTGAACCTAAAACTCCAGTTCAAAATAAAACATCCCTTTAGCGACCGCTCACCCTGGCCGGTTCTCTTGAGTGAGTTGTAAAATCCAGTTTTCCCAAACTTCATTGACTTCCGTTTCCAGCGAAATCGGTGTACATCCTTGATCAAGACGAGCAGGAAATTCAAAAGGAAATAATGAAATATGGACCAGTTCAAGCTGCCTTTGAAGTTTTTGAAGACTTCTCCTTTTACAGAAAGGGAATCTATAAGGTGAGAAGATTTTAGTGTTAATATCGATATCTCCTCATACCTAGTTGTGAATCCGAGTCCGGTCGGAGAAGCTGATACAGGCGCTGGTAAAGGTGGCCAGGGAATGATGGAATAGCAAGATGCAGATCACTGTGATCTTGGCAATGGTTGATCGAAAAGATTTTTCCTGGAAGAACTACGTTCGCAATGATTTTGATTCAAATAATTTTGCCATAGCTAGAGAGAGGAGCGGGGTCCTTCCAACGAAGATGGACATGAAAACGCCATATGCACTGCTTCATCAGGCACCTATCTCTCTCACGAATCTGTTGAACAAAACCTGTTCCGTAGCGTATTGCACTTTACCATCAGAGGCCCACTTCATCAAAATGATCCTGCAATTTCCTCAGAGCAAGCCTGTGGTTTCCAAGGAACAGCATGTAGAGCATTGTTAATGTATCAATTAATGTTGTATTTAATCCTTCATTCATCATTTGATGAGGTGTGGTTGAGTGCAACCTACGTTAACCTGCAACGTTTTCCAGCACACATATGGCCGACCAAGTGGCGGACATGCTGTAAAAATCGTTGGATGGGGAGTCGAAAATGGCACGAAATATTGGAATGTTGCAAACTCGTGGAACGAAGACTGGGGAGAGGACGGTAAGATGTGATATCGCTTTCCTTCCGCTCTCAAATAATAGTATCCCTGCTCACGATGAGCCCGCTCTCTTACCACTTCGAAGTTTGGAAATCTGCGTTTGTAGCAAACACTGAATGGGACCCATTTACCTGAACCTTGAGGCGCATCCAAAGTGGTAGCGTTGGGTAGGAACGCTCAAAAACCTACTGCACTCTTTTCTTGAAGCAAAGGTGTAGGTGTGCTTTGCTCCCCAACAACGGGCAGCAGTAACGCAAGCGCGATCCCAGGCAGCTTTGAGTACTCTGTCGTTTCCATCAACCCATCCTTTTAAATGGCTAGACACTATAGTATGGGTCATATGGAAAATCAGTAGTCATTGCTATCATTCAGGGCAGTCCAGAATCTAATATGGACGAGTCGCAGCTATTTTACGATCATTAGGGCATACCAAACTCCTGATGCTTCCAAATCTTCCTTGGTCACCACATAAGGGTCAAGGATGTTAGAATGAAACAAGGCATTATATCACGTATCTATGTTCATGGATCAAAGTGAACTCAGAGGGTCAGTTCAGCTCGTAGAATCACATGAAGGAATTGCCTCAATTTTTCCGATTTTTTGCTCACTGAATATTACAG